GTATTGATGGGGTCGTATGCCATCAACGCCAAGAATTACGAGTGGGACGGTGAACAGGAACCGGAACACGACGCGGATGCACTATGCTGCGGTCAGAAATGAGACGAGACGAGGTGGCGAAGCGACGCACGTTGAGTTCATGATACTTGGTCAACCGAACCAACGTGGCTGTCTCGACATCTTTCCCTTTCTGCGACAAGAGGGATCATCACATTGGAAATAGGTCAATTAAACCGAGGGAACGTACAAGACTTGCAATGAAAGAAGGAAAGGTCCACAAGACAGGTATGAACCATATCGTCATCGAGAGACTAACAAGTCCTCCCGTCAGGAACGTATACGCCTCGCACTACCGTCCCGTCATCAGAATATCACCGGCACCGGCGCGCATATATCGACTCACCTTTAATACATTTTCGCGGGTGAAGATGGTGATCAACGGCATGACGAGTACGGCAATGCAAGATCCGACCGCCCATGTCTTGAAATATAAACTCTTGAACCAATCTTGCTGCGCTGAGCTTGAATTGACGAGAAAGAGCCAAAAGCAAAGTTCTATCCATTCGTTATCGATAAGCTCGTCCAAAGATGGTGCATCGATACGTATACCTTCCAAGTGTGTCACCCTTGGAGGAGGTACTTGCGTGAGTTTGATGGACGGTAACAAGACGCCGGACCACTCACATTTCGAGGCTCCAACCGATAGCGAGGGCGAGGTACAAAGGCAGTATCGCGTTTTGGGCCGATTGACTCCATTCTTGATAAGGTGTGGGTTGGACTGGGGATGATGATCACTCATTCAACTCAGTCAAGAAGCAGGGCGAGCGTACCTCCGTACTCGGGTATCACGGTGTATCCGTAATAATATTTTATGATGGCGAACCCCGTGGCAAACACGATGATGGACGGGATGCTTAACAGATAGGAATACTAGAGTGCGCTTTTCAATACAACGACATGTGTCGAACGGGGAGAGCCGTACGGTCATGACACGCTTGAACGCGCCGGCGTAAGGGCCTTGGTTCCACCTCGGAGGAGGTTAGGTGTAGAGTGAAAAGCACAGCGATGGGACTCGCCTAAGACACTTGAATCGATCAAAGCACCAGAGATGGAATACAAGAAAGGCCCAGAGCTAGAGCTAATGTGAGTAAGTGGTACGACGAGACAGAGAACAAGTACCATGGCTGCCAAGAGCGCCCATACGAGGTACACAGTGGGGGATATGTGAGCCATGAGAGCATAGCGAAGTAACACATGATGATTGATATATAAGTAACCGTCTTCTCGGCACCACCTCATTGCAATCCGGATGACGTAAGCTGAACCCATCATGACACCCACCGAAAATCACAAACAAGACCTCCTCCTCAGTTGTCGATTTGGCGACTTGGACGACGTTCAACACTTTATCAATACATTTCCACACGAATCGCTCGATGGCGTTCAAGACGACAATGGCAACTCGGTGTTGCACATGACTGCCGCCAACGGTCATACCGGTGAGCCTTGTTTGCCGTCACCGGAGGACGTACGCAAGACATTCACACAGATATCCTCGCTTACCTCCTGCCACGCGTTTCCCCATCCCTCCTCACACACCGCAACAATGCCGGATCGACGGCCCTCCATTGGGCAGCCGTTAATCGCCATTTAGACGTTGCACAGATACTCGTACGGTTTTCACCCGGTCCGGGTGTCGATTTGATCGATATAAGGAACGAGGCGGGAAGATCGCCCCTTGGGGAAGCTGAGATAGCAGGATGGGACGAGGGCGCACGGTGGTTCGTTCAGGTGATGCATCTTGACGAGGTCAGAGAGGCCGAAGCCGAGGAGGAGGGAGAGGGAGAGAAAACACCCGTCGATCCGACACATGCAATCGAGGTCGAGATTCAGGATTCAGATGGCCAGATGGCTAGGATGACGATCAATACCAAACCATCCCTATCAGATCGGGAGCCGTCGTGAGGTTCGTCAAACGTGTCTATGGAGATGGATGTCCTGACCTCACTGTTTGCAGCATTCACTGCACACGTTAGACTAGTTTAGACAGTGTCGACGGTGTCTTGCAAGAACTGTCAGTCACAACTCAAGCGAGATGAGCATTGCGCATCCCCGGTAACAGATCGACGTCCATTTCAACCCCTAGATATACTCGTACTCGCACAAATCGATACAAAAAAACGACACATCAAAAACAAAATATACAGCCCTTTATCCTTGGGTCATCGTGCGTCGATGGCCAAACATGATTCGCCTCGACGCAGGATCATGTTCATGCCTGTCTCGCCACGACACCGGCCCGTCGGGTGCACCGCGTGAACCTACCTCGGGCACACCGCCACTTGTGTGTCCCGTCGCAGACGCACCGCCACGCGTCAGCCGATCCCACCATGCATCCGCTTCGTTCGACCCCACCACCGGCGGATCAGGGATATACAGACAACCGGGTCTCCGCGCCTTGGGGGTCAACAACGTAGGCGTCTTTCGCAACGGGAAAAAGCCGAGACCAGAGGGACTACCAGATCGTCGTACCGGAGAACAAAGACCGCTACGCTTTTGTGGCACGAGGTATACTCCATCCCCACTTGCCGTGTTGTCAGTTTGCTGTTCGGGTGAGATGGCCATCGCAGATGTGACGTACCTGTCTGCACCATCATTGGTGTTCGGTGGCGGTGATGAGTAACGACGTGACTTGGTGCTGTTATTGTCGATCCGACATTGCCTTGCGCCGCTCATTTCTTTGGTTGACTGAGTTACACGTGGGATCCGCATGCGCCAGTTATCCGTCTCGTCTTCACGTCCCTCGCGCTGCCAGGAAGATCCGCCGGACCACCCGTTTCGACACGGCACCTCACGGGATTCTCGCTCGTTAGACAACCTGGCATTAAATTGCTCCGTCGAGTCAGAATCGCCATCATCGTCGAATACTTCGCGTCTTCGCCACAAACACCCAGTACTACGAGCTCGCCTGAGCGACAAGGGGCACTCAGTCTCCGATAGCGCACCGTCTTGCCGTCGCCACTCGCCATTCACATCGTCTGTGCGCCACAATTCTCCGTCGGACCCGTCCTTGCTTGCACTTTCGTCGCCGTCGAAAGACGGGTTCTTTTGGTGTGATCCGCGATCCACGTGGGTAGATGCCACCAGGGTAAATGCTAACTTAATCTGGTTCTCGGGGGCGACGTCCAGCGCTGTCATCTGAGGGTGGTCCGGTTTCTTGACAGCCACGTCACGCATCGCTGACGGTTCAAGACATCGGTTGACCATTGTCATAGCCGATCCGCGGAGGTTTCTGGTGGAAAGACCAAACTCGGAAGATACGTGGTCCGGAGCTGAACCTGCTTGTTCAATCCCATGAGGCATGGCTGGCGTCAAAACACCAGCGTCAAGGTCAAACTCGTTCGAAACAGATGAATGTCCATCTCCAGGTCGTCCGATAGCCGCCACATCACGGTCCGGGGTTGTACCTGACTGTCGGGTCCCGTTGAGTACGGCCGGAGTCAAAACACCATCGTCAAGGTCAAACCCGTTCGACACGGGTGAATGATCGTCTCGTCTGGTGATTATCACATCGTTGGCACCACGATCTAAATGGTCCAATACCCCAAAGGAGGAAGTCGGTCCAGAAAAGTAGGCCCTGGCCCTGACCCCCATTTGAATGCACGAGTAAAAGTGTGACCATGGTATCACAGTCAAGACGGATCTCTTGAACGTGTCATACGCATCTTGCCCCGGACGTTCATGCAACCAAGCCCTAGGCATCGACGTGCGATATCCAACTTCCTCGTTTGTATCGAGGACCAAATCTTGAGCTGCTTCGCATATTGCAAAAGGGTCCCAAGACAACGACTGAAATACCCATTCGCTCGCGTCGGTGGCAGTCGAAAACCGGTACGCGGACCGAACCTTGGCCACGCTCCAAAAACGCGACAGGACAATTGCCAGAGCCAACAACCCCACAAGGAAACAACCAATCACGCCAGGGCCACCATCATACCTCCCCAGAACGCGTGCATAACCTAGATCAGGTCACTCACGGGTCAGCAGTACGCCAGGCACGTCCCACTAAAAACGAAATCGTACCACCAAGTCGGATATCAGTGATGACTGCGGAACGTCCCTTGTCATGGAGACCGTGTGTGAGATTGTGATTGTGATTGTGATCATGATCGTGCATCGGGTGTGGAACGAATGGAGGAGCAACGTGCACGGTGTGATCTGTCGGGACATCTGTGCCCATGTCCGTGGTTGTGTCCGTGGCGAATGGGAGCCACGTTGGCGCTTCGTATCTCCTCTTGGGCGGACACCGTGCTAGTGTCGCGGCGCGGACCCGGTGCGACAAGGGCTCGTATGCATGCGGATCTGCGTCGGGTCCGAGACCCACGTCGGCGAGTCTCTGGCCGAGAATGGACCACATGTGCCACGCCCGAAACCGTTCTGGACCGCGTGAAACGAGGGCGGGGTCGAGCTCGCTCTGGACATTGACAAGGCCGAGGAGGAAACAGCGCAGTAGTCTGGCGTGGAAATGGAGCGTGTCGCTGTCCTCCCATGGGACGACTCGAAATGGGAACGTCGCCCAGAGGCGGTTGGGAAACATGGGTAGAGGTGTTGGTGTTGGTGAGAGGGATAGTTGATCGGGGATTGAAACCGGTTGAAGCTTGGGCGCGCCCTCGGCGGAACTCATCAAAAGGGGGTTGGTGTCTATGCGAGTCTGGGAAAGACCAGTGTACTCTACATCTAGGCTTGTGCCTCCAGCTCGTCCTTGCACCAGCCACGCGCGCAACACTTGTGACCTCGACTCTGGATCTGAGCGTCAAGTGAAGTATGACTGCAATAGTTGGACTGCCCAGTGGCGGAACATGGGATGCAGTCTGGCAACTTGTGCGCTCACAACGCTGTCAACGTTGAGCACAAACCTAAAGAAAGCACATTAATTTCTTCTAAGTCGGGTCAGCAGCCCAAAGTCTAATAAAATCGATCGTAATTATCAAACCCTCGATGGTCGTATAGTGTAGTGGTTATCACTCGGGATTTTGAAAACAAAATTGATTTCCCGAAACCCAGGTTCGAACCCTGGTACGACCTCTTTCTTATCTCTTTTTTTCCATTTCGGGTTAACCCGGACGGTGATTTCCAGCTTGACTACGAACAGATTCTGATATGCTCCATCATTAACAGGTACCCAATGTGCGCGAACAAAGTGTTCTGGTATCCATAACGCGGCGCGAATATGGGCGGGGTCCCAGGCCAAATCCGAGCTTCCCTGTTCTGTTCTGGCTGCTTCTGTGCCTGGACTCGACATTGGGTGACCAACGTTCAAATCACGGTCGTTTCCATTCCGGTGTGGTATTGGGTTCTCCGGGGCGTCTTATGCCAACAGTTTGCCCCGGCCGCTGTCGTGCTTGCGGAGAACCAGCTTGCCACAGTGTAGTAACCAGGGTGACGTTCGCGCTGGCACTCGAGTCGCCTCATTCGAGCACTCCGATAACCTTCCATACGCTAACCCCGGTTCTCGAGACGGATTTACCCAACCCCGTTGTCACGTCATGTCATGTCATGTCATATCCTATATGTTCGGAGAGTAGCAAGACGCATTATGAACGCCCTGATAGTACATATATGATTAGGACTGACTCGGAGTGTTTCATATGAGGATGAGAACGATCTCAAGTCCTCGGAGAACGTCCTATCGTGAGGGGACATTCACATGTTCTCGCTTCAAAAAGTCGGCCGTGTGATCGCCCGTCTAGTCGATGATTCCTTGTAGGCTCGTGAATCACCCAAGCTGGCAGCGAGTCGATGCAAAAAGGGAGGAGTCTCTCCCCCAAACGACGCGCTGGCACCGACCGCCCAGTTGAAACGGCGCAGGAGGGCTTGGTTAAATTAAACAGGGCGACGTCCAACTGGATGATATGATGTTGATTGATATGATGGTTGCCAGTTTTTGAGGGTCTTTTTTTTTTTTCCCAGATTTCCATCTCGGCAAAAGCGTTCGTGAATTTTACTCACAGTGAAACTTGTCAGGAGGATTTCTGGCGCGGTCTCTGCGGCGGATTCGAGCATCCCATGTACGTACAGTCCCACCACTTCCTCGCTTTCCAACTCCTCCTCCTTGCTCGTCTCCACCGTTAGACATCCACAACGTGCCACAACAGGGTCCACCCAAGACACCGAGACAAGAGAGAAACACCGGCACATACAAACATTCGCCTCGTGCATACTTATCTCCGTCGCTCACCTTCAGTTCCGTGTCATCATCGTACGCGCATCGCAGACACACACAACAACTACTAGTGCTACGGCATTGGCATCAAGAGGTGCGCTATCAATGAACTATCATCAGAATCCTGGTCCTTACCACTTAGGGTCCTCTTGTCTCATAGTCCTTGCCGCGGCGACTCCCGGATCCAATCAGTGCCATCATCCTCGAGGTGCGAGGCGTCAATGTGTCCCGTCGCGACACCTTTTGACTTGTTCGGTAATTGGCAGGGTTTTCGGAGCGGGCGGGAACTACACCCAAGACGTATTAACCAGACGTTTTTTTTTGGAACAAGGTTGCTGGGCGTTGTACGCTTCGGCCGGAACCAATTGATACGTGGCCGACTGATTGCATCTGATAAGTCCATTTCGGCCAATTGGATAGAGAAATGCGTCAGATAGAACGAGACTACGCACGAGCAGAGCAGGCAACAGCGGGTACGAGTCCAGGCCTCGATGTTCGCGGAGATGTAGGTTTGGGGTTTGCCTCGAGGTTCGTGGGCGGTCAAGGGGTGGATGAGGCGTGTCGTCAAAAGCTCCGCGAGGCCGTGCATCCGGGTGACGCCAACAAGGGTTCGGCGGGCGTGGAGGGCGGAACAACCCAGAATCCAGTGGCTAGCGAATCAACATCGCAGGAATGGAAGGACAAGGCAGAAAAGTGGCTGGGTGGAGGAGGAGCGGAGACGGCAGGACTCCGTGAAGATCAACACGAGGCTCGGTCCTGTCGCCGCGTGGGCATCGTGTCTGCGCCTCGAAATTACAAACGCCCTCAGTCACTGCAGAATCTCAAGTCCAGCGGAGGAGAGGGACGTTATAGCGCTACTATCAACAGCAGCGGTACCACTCTTACCGGGCCCAACGGGTCTACAACGACTATTGCTCGCATTTCTCCGCCAGCCATCCCTCCCCGCTCACCACTTCGTCCTGGTCCTCATCAGCCTCCTCCCCTTCTAGCTCCCTCCGGACCAATACCCACAGCGACCACCCTACACACTGCTATCGTTACTACCCCAACTTCTCTCAACGGTGACGAGGACGGTCATCTGATCCTGATGCCCTCCCTCCGCGAGACCTTCGGAGGGTCTCTCACCGCCCTGCTTGCCACTCTAGAGGCGGAGACTCTCCACGACAAAGCCTTGCCTCTTCCACCCGACCAAGAGGACGACCTCTCCCCCGACTACAGCGACGAGATCGACGAAGAGGATTATGATCCGGACCCATCCCAGCCTTCTTCCACGGACAGCCTCACCCTCGACGCTCCAACATGCCCAACACCAGCTGGCCCTGCCACCCCCAATCAACCGACTGTCATGTCAAAGAGAGTCCACGCCCTACGCGAATTGCTCTCTTCAGAACGCGCATACGCATCAGATCTTGCATTGATCCGCGATATACACATCCCACTCGCTCTAGGCAGGTCACCCCTTTTTCTCGTGGCCTATGCTGATCCTCTAACATGGTTCCCGTCGCAGGGCAACCGGCTCCTTTCAACACCAACGGCACGCCTAGCCCGCCTCCCTTCTCGCCCGGGTCTGGGTCTGCCTCGTCCTCACGAACAGTCTCCACCGCTTCCGACTCTTCTACATCTTCTTCACAGCTTGGCCCCCCAATGACCCGCGACGACGTACGCATCATTTTTGGAAACATCGGGGATCTCGCCATGTTCTCAGATCACTTTGTCGACCGCTTGGAGGAAGCCCTCGGTGGCGCACTCGACGGCGGCAACGGCGAAGATAGAGTTGGCTCACTGTTCCTCGAGATCGTGAGTGTCCACGTTCCTTGTCGTGGCCGCTCGTACACATGCGTTGCTTGTGTCCCCAGATCCCTGCCCTTGAACCGCCTTACAAGACGTACATCACGCGTCACCCGACTGCGCTCGCCCATCTCAATGCCTTGCCTGCCTCGCCTGCGCTCTCCGCCTACCTATCTCATACCCGAACGCTTGCGTCGTCGTTGACGCATGCTTGGGATCTCTCATCCCTCCTCATCAAGCCCGTACAGCGGCTTCTCAAGTATTCACTTCTCCTAGGCGCTATCATCGACGCCACCCCCGACTCCCACGGTGACCGCCCCGCGCTCGTCAAAGCACGCGAACGCATGGAGGAAGTCGCGCGAAGCGTTAACGAAGACCGTCGACGTTGGGAAGTCGTACGCGAAGTCCTCGGAGGTGCTCCTATTCCCACTGCCAACGGAACAGGCAAGTCAAAGAAAGGCAATGGCACAGTCAGCGCCGCTTCTGCGCATCTAAGCCGGATGAAGTCGCTTCGTCCACCCAAGACCAGAGATAGCGCAGAGAATGCGTCCGATAACGCCGAAGCCGCGCAAGTGGCGCGATTGGAAGGCGAGTTGCAGCGATATGCGGTGTTTTTGGACAAGTTTGCCAAAGACGTCAAGGACTGGCGACTCAGCATGCGTCATGCGTTGGTCGCGTTATGGCAATGGGGTATCACGTTTGGTGCCGTTCTTGGACTCACCCCGTCACCATCAGTCACGCTGGACGGATCCAGATCCGTCGACGATCTCGACGGCGAAGGACGCTCGGAAGCATACGATGCGTTCACCCTATTGCTCGCTAGCCTTCCAGGTCTCTGCACGGACCTCGAACAGGAGCTGCAAAAGTCGTTCATCCCACTTCTCTCCAATCTCAAGACGATGATGGAGCCTCCGACCAAACTCCTCCATGCCATGCACTCACTTGAGCCGCTTCACGTCGCCCTCCTTCACACGCCCTATTCGCCGTCCAAGTCCCGTCGTCCGGCACCTGCGCTTCTCACCGCGTCCCAGTCATACCTTGCCCTTCGTTCTGCGTTGTCAGCCGAGTTGCCCATCCTGTTGCGAGCGATGAACAAGGCGACGGGACTGGCGGTGCGTATCGTTGCAGAGCGACAAGCGGCGTTTTACTCTTCTGTGGGAGAGAGATGGGCTGAACTATGGGATGCACTCAAAGTGGAAGGCGAGCGGTGTGGTGCGGCTGAGGAGACGTTGCGTGTGTGGTGGGAACGATGGGGCGATGTCGAGGTGCGCCTTTCCTTGATGAAAGTCACACGCAGGGACAAGTGGTGGGCAGAGAGGGAGAAAGTACTGCGGGATCTGACTGTACGGGGTGAGAAGGAGAGGGATGGCAAGGAGCGACCGACGAGGAGGGCGACTAAACCGCTCGAACCTGTGCGTGTGTCAAACCATCAAGCACCGCCGACACCCTCGTCCCACAAGCGGCAGAACCATCAGCCTCAGTCGTCAACCGAGACTGTGCCCGCCGGCCGCCGACGTAGCGGAAGCAATTCCAACACCCCACAAGTCCAGCGACGAACGTCTGACGAGTCGCTTCGATCGGGTAAATCGTCCAAGTCGACTGGCAAGTCCAGTCGGAACAGCCGAACGGAAGAGGAACCACCTGTCCCTCGCCTCAAACCCAAATTTTCGCAGACCAATGGTGGGAACAGTAACGGCCCCCACCGCATGAAGAGCAACCCCGCGATCTCACCTCTGCGAACGACACCATCGCAGTCTTCGCAGGTCTTTGTGGATTTTGAGAACCACTACCCGCCGTCCCCCCTGTCGATCGAGATGTTTGATCCCGAGGAGCTGGATTCCGAGTATAGAGGACGGACTCAGCGACGATCGAGTCTGAAGAGTAAGCTTACCGATACGTTCCGGCCTGCGCATCACCGTCGACGATCGTCTTCTGTCAAGTCTCTGGGTGCACCGTCGTCCCTTGCACCATCGTCCCTTGCACCGTCGTACCACTCGACGGACGCACCTCTACCACCCTACTCTCCCTCCCACCAAACCCAATCGCATGCCACCAACGGTTCTGGGCCAGCGCC